CACTGTGCAGAACACAGATGTGTAATGATTCTTGCCCAGAGGACTCCTTACGGCCTCCAGTACACAGATAAAGCGACAGGCCAGAGTCCGGTGCAGGAGCAGAAAGAGCAGCAGTTCTTTCTCTGGCTGTGGGAATGTAGCCATATTCAAGGCTATAAAATGCACTGGAATATTTTAAACGAAATTTTTGGTATTGCTTAAGGGGCTCATAAATTCAGTCAAACCATTTTTCATCCTTGGCAAGTGTGACACGCCCTGTTCAGATCTGGAATCGGAAGTTCCCCTCTGTTATTGCTGCGAGGGTGGCAGGTTTCCAGGATGTTGGGACTATTGGGTAGTGTTTATTTTTTTGTACTTTACCTTTCTGATTACCTTTTTTGGTTGTCTGTTTTGAGCGGCTGATCTGATGGATCTTGATCGCCTTAACTCCTCTGCTCCTCACCAGATCTGACCAAACCGAAGTTGCAAAAAAAAAAATGTATTGCTCTTCCTTATCCTGTTCTTTATTCTCCCACACTCGCTCTCTCTGTTGTCTACAGCAAAAGGTCAATAATCACTGTAATGTTAAAATATCATTTGTGGGATAATTAAATGAGGGAAACTTGAATATGAAGTAGAATTTCTGCCATAATGATTTTTCTTGCTGGTAAAGAACCATGAAATACTTGGTGCATACCTTTATGATGTCCTGACCAGGATGGCCCAGGCTAGCCCAATCTTGTCAGATCTCGGAAGCTAAGCGGGGTCAGCACTGGTTGGCATTTGGATGGGAGACCAAGGAAGTTCAGGGTCATTACACAGAGGCAGGCCATGGCAAACCACCTCTGTTTGGTCCTCGCCTTGAAAGAAGAAGAAGGATTGGATTTATACCCCGCTCTCCACTCGGAGTCCCAGAGCGGCTTACAAACTCCTTTCCCTCCCCCTCCCCACAGCAGACGCCCTGTGAGGTAGGTGGGGCTGAGAGAGCTCCGACAGAAACTGCCCTTTTCAAGAACCCCTCTGACAGAACTTTGGCTTGCCCGAGGTCATCCAGCAGCTGCGAGTGGAGGAGTGGGGAATCAAACCCGGTTCTCCTAGATTAGAGTCTGTGCGCTTAACCACGACACCAAACTGAAAACCCAATGGAGTCTGCTTAAGTCAGCTGCAACTTGATGGCACTTTCCCACCATCATACCTTTTTGAAGTCATGTGTTGCCTCGTTTACTGTTGCCTTGGCTTGGATCCAGAGCTCAGCATATGCGAATGAAACACTTCTCACGTACAGGAGGGTTGCAGATCCTTCATTTCATGTGCATTTCCCTGTACCCTCCGCAGTGTCCCTTGGCCTTTGGAGTAGCCTTTCAAAACGTGAGACGGGTGGGGAGGGGGGGGAGTGGAGGCAGGGATTTTCAGGTGGATCTTTGGAGCCCACCCTTAGTAGAGAAGAGGTCTTTGTCAGCAATTGCAACTCTGAATGGCTTTTTGAGACCCGCAAAACATTCACATCAGATTGCGGTGAGATTGCAGATGTAGCTTTGCAGAAACTTGAATGTTCATTTTCACATTCTTTCCCTTATCTACATGTTGGCTCTTTGATAAGTAAAAGAGACCTTGTGGAATCAAGACAAAATATTTTCTGGTTGGTATCAATGAAACATGGTGTCATGCTGCTTGGGCTCGTTGGAAAGGGAAGGATTTCTTCTTCAGATTCTCATTTTAGGGATCCCCTTTGCCTGGCTTCCATAGTAAAGTGTTCTGTAGGCTTATTGGCTTTCGGATGCTGTATCCCACATTGTAAATATTTTTACAGTTTTAATTATGAAGCCTCTCACCCTCCTTGCTTGCAGCCAGATTTTGGCATTTGCAAATGTACTTCATTGATAAATTCTTAGATGGATAGTTTTTTTTTTTTTTATGCTCCAATCAGTCTCTTAGAGGAAAGAAAAAAATGAATTTGGGCCAACACTCAGTAGACTCGTCCTGTATTATTACATGGAGACTGTGCAGTTAAAGTGAGGGGACTTTAAAGTGAGGTCTTAAAATATGCTGGTCATCAAATGTTAGTGTGGTATAGGTATGTGATAAAATTGGGACTTGATCAAGGCTGTTGCTAAGATAGATAATTTTGAGTTGCTGCTTCCTCAGACAGAATTCTTAGGGGTATCAAGCAGTGCACCTGATGCTTTCAAACCATGCAATTTGGAAAGCACCGCTGCTGCTAGTCCAGACAGCGTTCCAGCGAATAGATGGGCTTGTCTCCACTAACACAATCCAGGCTGATGTAGAAAATGGACAACTCTGATTCCACTTTGTACAGTTTTGTGCTTTCAGTTTAGCACTGGGTGCTGTAACCATTAGTGTGCTTGTGCTCTTTAAACTTTGAGCATTGTATTCGCTATATGCTGTGTATTGCTTCATTAGGAATGCAGAAATTGCCTGCCAAATGAGAAATACGGTTAAAATCGCCCAGTATCCCAGTTGAAAATGGCCACTCCTTTGCAGGAGGTAATTTTTTTTCTTACAGATGAATCCATGTTGGTTATAGCACAGAGGTGTACAGTGATTACAGGATTAAGGCTGCAGAATGTAGAAGCAGTATGCCTTGGTTTGTCTTTGCAAGGAAGGAGAACTTGCATTCATAAAATGGAAGGCAAATAGGTACGGGCAAAGCTGTCGAGGTAGTCAAACTGGCAGAATTCTGTGGGAAGAAAGATTAAGAAAACTGAAATGGTGTAGCCATACAAGGTGAATGCAGTGACATGCGGTGTGGAGTGATAAATGCCATTTACATTCTTTAGGCTTCATTGTTCTACTCTCAGTGCCCTGGACTGTATAGTTTAGTTGGGCAGAGGGTCACGTGAACTACATTTCACAGTTTTTGCTATTTTATTAATGCTGGAAGCTTGTTATCATCCGTTTTGTATGTTGGTTCCCTTTTAAGAAGTCTGAATTATGTTAGAACCCAGTATGTGTAAACCGAACATGACACAGGTATTTGAAACATGGTATCTGGTAAACGGGATAAAAAGTCCAGTGCTACTAGTGTGTGCTACAGAAAGTTTTGATAGAGTTCTGGAAAGCTTCTCTGTAAATTCCAAAGCATTTGGATTTAGAATAGAATCCCCCCCCCCATGCCCCATAAATTGAGCAAATATTTGAAAGTTCCTGAGCTGACTTCCTTGGATTTTCTCTCTGTCTCTCTCTCTCTCGTCAACATCTGACTGAGAACTGAATTTCTTGGCACAGCACTGCTTGCAAGCCTTCAGATGAAATAGTTTATTCCGTCATTGTTTGGAGAAGGAGCAGATATCTGCAGCTTGGAGAGGGAGAGCAAGTCATTGTGAGCTGGATTAACGCTGTGAAATGGGGACCAGGGTTTGCAACCAAAACTGCACACACCACTTCTCTCTCTCTCTCTCTCTCTCTCTCTCTCTCTCTCTCTCTCTCTCTCTCTCTCTATAACAATCAACAAAAAAACCCGCACACACCCCCTCTCTCTCTCTCTCTCTCTCTCTCTCTCTCTCTCTCTCTCTCTCTCTCTCTCTTTAAAACAATCCTCCTCTTCTGACAGCTCTCTGGAATCTTCTAGGCTGTGAGAGGCTACAAGAGGTGAATTGTTGTTGCAAACTGTGATCCAAATTCTCCATCATTGAGGATGTTATGTAAATAATGAAATGACACGTCGCAGATGAAGGGGAAGTAATATTGTTTGAACACAAGAAATGCAAAATTAAAAAACTTGGAGCACAACCGGAATGCGCTTGCGTAAATGAGACCCTCAGGCTTATGTGTGCTCCATCCTCCAGGCAGTTTCACCCTTTGCCCAGTTGGCCAGGCCGCTGTCTAAACCCAAGAATTTGTTAAAAACAGTTTGGTCAGTCAGGTTCAGCGTGGATGCCAGAACAAAACCAAGGTTTTCGTTTGTGTGCACTTTTCTAGACTGTGGGGGGAAACACCTGCCGTTATCTTTTGGCCTCTTGTCCTTTTTTGGCAAGCAGGGACTCCACTGAGCTTTGTGGCAGAGAAGCAGCAGCCGTCTGCTCAAAGTGGGAAAATGTGCCATTCTGGTAGCATTGTTAGGGTGGGCCCAGGCAGGGTTTCTGCCTCTGAGAGTGCAAGAAAAAGAGGAAGTGCTGGTAGGCGGATCAGAAAAGGGGAGATTGTCCCAGGTTCTCGTTCAGCAGCTCCAACAGGACTGGAAAAGGCTCTGCTTAAGATCTTGGGGGACTGCTGACAATCAGGATTTGGCATTAAAGGCCATAATGGTTTGTTCTTCTTCTGACACCTTATAAAGTTCCTCTGCATCTTTAGTTTTATACTTGGGCAAGGTTGTCTGCATGTTGTATGTTTCCTGGCATTCCAAGTGAATGTCATTCAAAGGGTCCAGAGGGGATAAGAATTTTTTTTACTCCATCCTGTTTCTAGTAAATTTTTATGATCTTGTGATTCAAGCTGCCTTTCACACTCCTTAGAAGCAACGCGAATCTTAATATCTTGTGACATTTTCACAGGTTGATTATACATCGGGTAAACAAAAAACAGTAGCTTTTATTCTTCTTCAAAGTAGTATTGACTCTCACTTTCCTTGAACACCAGGTTGATCTTGTACAAAGAGAATGTAAGCCCCTAAGCAGCTCTTTGCAGATCCAGAGCTTTAAGCTCCAGGCATGCAGTTCATTTGAAGTCATTTGATTTAGCGGCGCTTCCCCCCCACACACACCCACCCAGGAAGGGGGTGTAGCGCTCTGTTCTAGCAGGCCTGAATGATTGTTCATCATCGATCTTTTGTGCAGTCCCGCATGGGGACTGCGCATGTGCAAGCCTGCCATCAGAGAGGTTTTACAGCTAAAAGCCTCCAGGGAGTGCTGCGTGCCAGAACCAGAAACTTGTTCCTACCCAGGGACCACGTGCTCCTACACAGCAGTGCCCCCTATCCTCAGTTCCTCTTTTGCCACTGAAGAAGGTAGTCATTTTGGAGTCTCCAGTTTTCTGCTTTGGTGATCTCCGACTATGAGACCATCATGGTTGGCTACCAGCTTCTCCTGTGGGAGAGAATCTTACTCTTCTTGGAGCTTCTGCCTGAGGACAAGTGTCCCCTTGCTAAAGTTCTGCATGCCAAGGTCATCAAACTTTCGAAGCAACAGATTGATGCTAGTTGCCGTTCCGCGGATTCTCCAGCACGTGCCATGGTGAGTTCCACTGTCCTCAGACATCACGCCGTGTTGAGGTCAACAGTGTTGCCTGTAGAGACCAAGTGCAAGATTGAGGACTTACCTTGCGAAGGTTCTGTGCTCTTCTCCACCAAGACCAATGAGACATTGTCCTTAATAAAGAGAAACAAGCAGATGGCCAAGTCATTGGGGGTATTGCAAACAGGCCCATCTTAATTCAAGCAGAGGCCGTTTGTACAGCAGCCCTGGCACCCTTACCATTCATAAAATGGTAACATTCCAGGTCCCCAGTATCCTACCTTTTATTTCCCAACATGGCTATCATAAATGCAAGGGTTCCAACTGACTTAGGTCAGTGCATCAGCTGCCCCCTCCAAGAAATCCAGCTCCATTACAGAAATCCTCCTCACTAGAAATGGTCTCTGCTCTGGTTAAGTTTGGTGACAGGCTAGCTCAGTTTTATGCTACCTGGGAAGCTATCACCTCTGATGAGTGGGTTCTGTCCACAGTCAGATTAGGTTATAGATCAGAGTTTAAGTTGGTTCCTTCATTTTCTTTACCACTGAGACTAACTTGCCAGGCAACATCAGACCTGTCTCAGGTGTTACATGCTTTAATTGAAAAGGGTGTGATAGAGGAAGTGTCAGAGTCCCAGGCACCTGAGGGTTTTTTTCTCCCGGATGTTCCTAGTGGATAAAAAGTATATGGGGGAGGCCCATGTCGGACCTCAGAAGTTTGACTGTTTTTCTCCATGTTTCCAAGTTAACATAAGAGAACATAAGAGACGCCAATGTTGGATTAGGCCAAAGGCCCATCCAGTCCAACACTCTGTGTCACACAGTGGCCAGAAATACCAGGGGGGGAGGCCCATTTCAGACCTCAGAAGTTTGACTGTTTTTCTCTATGTTTCCAAGTTAACATAAGAGATGGCAATGTTGGATCAGGCCAAAGGCCCATCCAGTCCAACACTCTGTGTCACACAGTGGCCAGAAATACCAGTGCCACCAGGAGGTCCACCAGTGGGGCCCTCCCACTGTTGACCCCCCCAAGCACCAAGATGACAGAGCATCACTTGCCCCAGAGTCCCTATCTATACCTTGTGGCTAATAGCCACTGAGGGACCTCTGCTCCATATGCTTATCTAATTCCCTCTTGAAGCCATCCATGCTTGTAGCTGCCACCACTTCCTGTGGCAGTGAATTCCATGTGTGGCCCACTCTTTGGGTGAAGAAGTACTTCCTTTTATCCGTTCTAACCCGACCGCTCAACAATTTCATTGAGTGCCCCCGAGTTCTTATATTGTGAGAAAGGGAGAAAAGTACTTCTTTCTCGACCTGCTCTATTCCCTACCTGCTCTAACCCATGCATAATCTTATAAACCTCGATCATGTCACCCCTCAGTCGTCGTTTCTCCAAGCTAAAGAGCCCTAAGCGCTTTAACCCTTCCTCATAGGGAAAGTGTTCCAACCCTTTTATCATTCGAGTTGCCCTTTTCTGCACTTTTTCCAAAGCTATAATATCCTTTTTAAGGTGTGGTTCCACATGGTTTCCATTCCTTCAATTTTATGATTATTAAAGTTTAACTGTTGGTTTATTGTTATTGATTTAAAGGATACCTTGTTTTCATGATTATGTCCTCAACACCGCAAGTTTCTATGTTTCTCTTGTGGAGCGCATGTGTTTCAGTACACTTTTGGCCTGGCTACGGCACCCAAGGCATTTTCAAAGTGTTTGGCCCCGGTGGTTGCCTATCTAGGTATACCAGGTTGTCGTATATTCCCTGCTGGCTGCTAGTGGCAGATTCCAGAGACCAAGTATTGAAACATTATTCACTAGTTTTGGTGACCTGCCAGAGACGGGGACTCCAGGTGAATTGGATGAAGTCCCATTTAATCTCGTCCTAAAGGATTCAATTTATGGGGGCCATGTTGGACTCCGTAGCGGGGAGAGGTTTCTTGTCCCCTGACAGAGTACAAGCCATTTTTGTTTTAACTAGGCAATTTAGATCAAACTGGTTCCAGTCAGTTCAGAAAATCTTTTGCCTTTTGGGTTATAGGGCATCTACGACAGCAGTACTGCCCCTTGCTAGGCTACATGTGCAGCTTCTACAGCTCTGGTTTCTGTCCCAATATAGAGTGGACTTACATACTCATTGGCATAGATTTTCTGTTCTCAGACAGGTTGTCCATTCCATCATGGTGGCTATCTCATGACATCTTATCCCAGAGCATACCCTTTGGAGTTCCTGAGCTTGAAGTCATCGTTACAGCAGAGACATCACTCTTAGGGTGGGGTGCTCACTGTGAGGGATTTTCTGCACAGGGAACCTGGTCTAAGGATGAGAAGCAACTTAATATTAACCTACTAGAGTTGCGGTCAGTTTGTAATGCCGTTAGCTGTTTCTCAGATGTCCTGTGGAATAGCTCCATACTACTCCAAATGGACAATACAGTCACAATGTTTTATTTAAACAAGCAAGGGGACATGGGGTCCAGGGGCCTATGCCCAGAGGCTACCCTGACCTGGGTAATGGTCCTGAAGCTCAAGGTTTACATTCAAGCCGTCCATAGTCCGGGAAGTTTAAAAATGGAGGCCGACAGATTGAGCAGAGCAGGGACACTATCTCACGAATGATCCTTAAAGAGTGTGTACATGGAATCGATTGTCACCCTCTGGGGAGTCCCAGAGGTCAATCTCTTTGTGACAAGAGAAACCACAAAGGATGCAAGATTCTGTTCTTGAGCAGGGAAGGGCTTAGGTTCCCCAGGGGAGATTCGTTGGGAGGGGGGTCCTTTTCTATGCATCCCCCCCCCCATTTCCGCTCCTTATCAGGGTGATAAAGAAGGCCAGGAGAGAGATTGAATATGATTTTGGTGGCTCCATTTTGGCCTCACCAAATCTGGTTCCGATCTTTATGGAGATGGCCCGGGGGCAGTACCTCCCCTTGCCCAAACAGTTAGACTTAGTATCAACCAGGTGTTCCACCATGATCTAAGTTGTTTCAATCTGATGGCTGGGAGGCTTGGGACAGAGACTTAATATTCTCTCAGGAGGTTAATGATGTACTCTCGAATTCATGTAAGCCCAATTCTAGAAAGTCCTATTTGTATAAATGGAGGAAGTTTTCTCTCTGGTGTGGTGATAGGGAAATGCCTCCAGGTACTGCTCTGTTGCAAGTCATATTTGAATATTTATTGCACCTGAGAAATAAAGGTCTATCTTTATCTTCTTTGAAGGTCTATCTGGCTGCCATCTCTGGTTGTCAGTTTTCTCCTATCGCTTGTCCAAGAGATTTCTTAAGTGATTATGTAATCTGGGCCCACCACAATTGATCTGGGCCCATTGAACCCCTTGTGACATGTTCCTTAGCTGAACTCTCTATGAAAGTCTATTTTTAGTGGCTGTCGCATCAGCCAGGAGAGTGAATTAGCAGCTCTTCAGGTAGGACCTCCGTTTTTGAAGATTTTCCTCGAGAGAGTGATCCTTCGACCCAGTCTTAGATTTCTCTCTAAAGTAGTTTCTAGATACCACTTATCCTAGGATATTATTTTGCCCATCTTCTTTCCTACACCAAGCTCTGAAAATGAGTGGTTGTTCCATTCCTAGATGTTAGAAGGGCTTCATTGTTTTACCTTAAAAGAACCTTGGAGTTCCGCAAGGAGAGAGCACTGTTTATATGTTTTGCCGGGCCTAATAAAGGGAGGAGGGCTTCCTCTCAAACTTTGTCCCGGTGGGTTGCCTCTACCATTAGAGAATGCTATAGTTTTGCTAAGTTGCCGTACCCCCTGAACACTCATGCCCGCTCTACCAGAGCTGTAGCTTGTTCTGTAGCCTTTTTCAACGGAGTGCCTTTGACAGATATATGTGGGGCTGCTTGGTCGTCAGCAGACACGTTTGTATGCCTGCCACTACGCTTTGGATCTGCAGGCGAGATGGGAAGCTCAAGTGGGAAAGGCAGAAGTACACTCGTTTTTCAAATGAGGAGAGCATGCCCCACTATAAGACCATCATGGCTGGCTACCAGCTTTTCCTGTGGGAGAGGATCTTGCTGTCCTTGGAGCTTCTGCCTGAGGACAAGCGTCCTCTTGCTAAAGTTCTGCATGCCGAGGTCATCAAACTTTCGAAGCAACAGATTGATGCTGGTTGCCGTTCCGCGAATTCTGCAGCGTGTGCCATGGAAGAGTTCCACTGTTCTCAGACATCATGCCTTGTTGAGGTCAACAGCGTTGTCTGTAGAGACCAAGTGCAAGATTGAGGATTTACCTTGCGAAGGTTCTATGCTCTTCTCTACCAAGACCAATGAGTGAGTAGCTTGCTAGAATCCCCATGTGGGATGCACAGAAGATCAATGATGAAAAGAGGGTTGCACTTACCTGTAACTGTTGTTCATTGAGTGGTCTTCTGTGCAGGCACACATCCCTCCCTCTTGCACTGCTGTGAACTCTCTGGAACCTTAGTTTCTTGGGGTCTCTGGCAGCAGCATGGAGAGAACTGAGAAAGTAGCGCCCCTCCTCCTGGTGATGCGATCGTTTTGGCAGGAAAGCACCAAAGGGAGGAGAGACACTCCTAGTCTACTAGAAAGCTTTCAGAATCATTTACACGGCTGGCCTATGCATACGCAGTCCCAGTGTGTATCTGCACAGAAGACCACTTCGATGAACAAGAGTTATTGGCAGAGGTCATTTTGGGGGAGATCGCGGGGGATCACAGTTCCCCCGGGTGAGGTACGGGGGTGGGGCACATGACGAAGCCCCGCCCCCTGCTTCCGAAGTGGTGTTCATCGAGGAGCCTCTGTGCAGGCAGACATACTCTCTCTCCTGCCCTGCTGTGTGCTCTGCTTTGGTGGCGCTAGAAGTACTGAGGGTAGGGGTGCTGCTGTGCGGGAGCACATGTTCCCTGGGCGGGAACAAGTTTCTGGATCTGGTGCACTGGAGGCTTTTGGCTGTAAAACCTCTCCGATGGCAGGCCTGCTCATGCGTAGTCACCATGTTTGCCTGCACAGAAGATACACTATGAACAACAGTTACAGGTAAGCGCGACCCTGTTTTCACCTTCAGTGAATTCTTTAATTTGGTTACGAGAATTGACTTCTGACAAGTAGTTTAGCTCCTGTGGAACTTTGAAATAGCCACTGGAGGTTTCTTCCCAAAGGAAAGTGATCTCTTTTGCTAGCTAGATCTGCTTGTGTAGAGATCTTAACAGGAAAATTTTGCGATGAGTTTATAGGGCAGCAAGAGATACATTGCTAATTGACCAGAAGTTATGCTCTGACTTCTTGATAGAAGATGATAACATAGTATATTATAAGGAGGAACCAAAAGCACTATGATGTGTCAGGGCAGAGATGCCCACTGGACAGAGGAACTAGCAGTCCTCTTCCTTTTTCTGTCTCTTCAGATTTCTATCGTGTTGTTGTTCAATCGCACAGTCGAGTCCGACTCTTCGCAACCCCATGGACAAGATCTCGCCATTCCAAAAGCTTGAGGGTCGGTTATGGGAAATCATAAGCCCAAAACAGCTATTAGGCTTGAAGCAAAACATGCCATCAACAGAACCCCATCCCTTCTTGTCTTATCTTTGGCTACATAGAAGCCAACCCAAATATTCTCTCAGTGCTTTGGCAAGTCTCTACAGAAGAGGTATTTCACAGTTGTGTGGCCACTAAGGACATCTTCTCATATGCCTTTACTGTTTCAACTTAAGTCAGGGGTAAGTATAAAGCAAGTGCTCGATCAGTTATATAGGGTCAGGGAAGGCAGGAGATGAACTTTTATTGGTATTATGTGGTAATAAAAAGTCAACCGATCTTTTTGGGCATCTAAGCAGTTTGATGATACACATAATTTTGTGGCTTTCCCTTCTCTCGATAACAGTTACTGTAGTGTTTCCGAAAGGCCTTATCAGCTCTGCTGCTCCAGTACAGTATTTTCAACTATTTGTTCACTTTTTCAGTATTTGCATTTAAAATGAACCTGCAAACCCTTAAGTGCATTTCTTTATAGCTCTCTTTATCCAGCATTAACAATACGTGGGGTTTTGTGAGCTCCAAATTGGGTTGTAGATGAGTCGAACAGTATTTGTTGTCTTTAACGGCCATGAGTTTCCCTAAGGAGAACTTATACTCTCCAAAGTCTCAGAAGAGTAATTATAAAGGATTGTATGTATGAAACATTAATCATAGTTAAAAACGAAGCACGTGAGTTATTCAGACTGCATTGATTTTTGTTTTCTGACGGAATATAAGCTGCAAGCTTCTGTTTAAATTGTATTTTTACATTCAGTAACCAATGTTCCCTCTAAGCTGTGGAGTCTTGTGAGCAAAAATTCTACTTTGTGAGCTACTGGCATTAAAGTTGTGAGCGAACGATTTGGCTATTGCATAAATTAGTTTGCTCTAGAGCCATCCGTCCTGAGCTGAGACAAAAATGTGTGAGCCAGAGGCTAAAAAAACTGTGACCTAGCTCACACTAACTCAGCTTAGAGGGAACACTGTCAGTAATTCATCTCTTTGTGTTAGCAGGTGGGGCATTCTTCCTACTAGTAGAGCTGGTACTTGTGGAATTTAAAAAACACACTTTATTATACAAAATCACAGTAATTCATATAAATTTACACTGACCCTATATTCATATCGTACTATAATTTATGTAACCACCTCTTCCTCCTATACATTATAATTAAAGCCTATCACAATAGTATCTCTATTACAACCCCAAGAATGAAGTTTGAAGCACTTCTAAGACCTCCGCTTTAATCTTGAAAGCATTTGAAGTCATGTGTTCGAAGTAGAAGCAAGCATTTAGGCAGTCTGGCTAGGTACTAAAAGCAGCTTTAGCAGGGCTGTTGTGTTCTCCCTGGGGTGTATATGTGTTGCACTTAAGATTTTATGTGTTTTAAACTGTTTTAACACTTGTATGTAAGCCGCCCTAAGCCTGCTTCAGCAGGGAGGGTGGGGGAAATAAATAAATAAATAAATAAATAAATGTTTTTGGGCTTTCCCCCCTCCTGGCACCTGATGCTGAACCTCAACTGCTTTCGGAAGCTCCCTCTGTTTCAAAAGCAGTCTTGTCATGTTGTCTGGTTGAAAGCCACTTCAGTTTACCGAGCGAGTCACATGGTCTTTTGGACCCGGGTCTGTGTGTTTATAAGAAATCTTGTGACGGTGTTTTGCTTTCGTCGCTGCGCTAATTTGCAGTGTTAACTCTTTAAAAAAACAAAACGAAGCACCTATCTTTGTAGTTCCCTTAAAAAAAAAAAAAAAGGTCCTATGCTGGATTAAACGTATCTATGGAGCTTGTATTTATCAGTCCCTTTTGCAGCAAGTTCAGTTTATCTAAATTTGATGTCTTGCCACGCTGCACCAAGGGCTGTGCCTGGTTCCAAGGAAATAACAGCAGACTTAATGATACCGAAGATCTGTTAATTTTTTTTGGAAAAAAGCACACAACAAGGTCACTACTACCAGTGTGTTACAGCCGTGTAAATGGAATTGCAGAATCAGAGAGAAAATGCTATGGAGGTCAATATTTCTGTTGGGAATCTTTCTTTCTTTCAAAATTGTCCTCCCGCCCAGCGACTGCATTATTTTGATATGCCTTTGCTTCTCTTTGTTTATGGTGACAAATGTAAGCAGACCTTGCTGTATATGAAAAAATGTAAAACGAAGTGTGTTGTGGTGTCCCAACATTATGGCCAAGGTAGCGGACTTGTTCGTTCTGTGCGAAGCGTTGGGTGACTGTAAGAATGCCTGCAAGTTCTGTCCAAAATATTACATTTTGAGTGCAGTTTTCTTGTGCTAAAAACATAGCAAATACGTGTCTGATGTGGAGATAATTAAGTCACAGCAACTTTTGCAAACTTGGTGATGAGTCTGGGAAAGCTGATCCTTTTTCTTTAATAAAAGTCTTCTCTTTGACTCTAGGTGGCAATAAAAATCATTGACAAATCTCAACTTGATTCTGTGAATCTGGAGAAAATTTATCGTGAAGTGCAGATAATGAAAATGCTGGATCATCCACACATTATCAAGCTTTACCAGGTATGTGCCGCCTTTCCTTCCTACCAAGTCTATGGGCTCAGGGCTAGAGAACCAAGTCCCTTTGGCCTCAGTGCCACATTGCGGGGTTTATATTTGCCTGCTGTGGCTGGAGCCTTTGGGTGGCTGTTAATGAATGCAGGTTTTGATCTGCCAATTAGTGACAAGCTTTATGTTTTTTAAAAAGAAAACCCTCCCCCTCGCCTCTTTGGGAACGTTGAGATCAGAACGGCTTTTGAGAATTCTTTATTTCAGAAGGTTGGACTCCCATTGATTTGAGCATCCGCAAGAATGGAGGGGAGGGGGCATGCTGTCTGAGAAATTACTCCATTGGTGCAAGAACCCTGTTGATAGGAACAGGTCCTAGGTAGGATTTATGTTATATTCTAGCGAATGGGCTCATGGAGTTTCTGCATTGCCTTGAGTATATCGCCGCTCTTTAAGCCATTCACTGGTAGATCCGGGGAACTGTGGTGACTTTCTAGAGATGTGAAGGCCCAGGGGAAAAACTGGGAAAATTCAGAAAACTTGTTTTGGAGAACTTTTTTTCCAGAGGGAAAAACTGGGAAAGTTGTGGGGGTGGGGAACCCCAGCCTTCTTGAATTCCTTGGGATTTTGACACAGGGTGGTGGGCACAACCACAGAATGGTTGCTGCAGGAGGAGCAGCCACACACACACACACACACACACACAGACGAAGCAGGTGAGTACGGGGAGTGCAGGAGAGTACAGCGATTTCTTTTAAAGAATACACTGGGAAAGAGGAGTGAAAGAGAATGAAATCAGCACTGAGGAGGCAGCTGCCCCCAAAACAATGTTATTTTAATCTGACGAGGCAGTTGGATCTCTAGTGGCCAGTCAGGAACCCTGCTGGGTAAGTGCTCTCTAAAAGCCCTTAGTAGGCACCAGGAAAGCTGTTGGTAGGCACCATGGTGCCCCTGGGGGTGGGTGGTAGTAGTAGTGATGGTGGTGGTGGTGGTGGAGGAGGAGATGATGGTGGTGATGATTGAGGAGCTGCGGTGGCTCAAGTGGTTAAGACGCTGAACTGCAGGCTTTGGAAGGTCAGTAGTTCAGCAGTTCGAGACCCGGGTGCCGCATGATGGAGTGAGCTCCCATCTCTAGTTCCAGCTCCTGCCAACCTAGCAGTTCGAAAGCAAGAAATTGCAAGTAGATAAATAGGTACCACATAGGTGGGAAGGTAACAGCGTTCCATGCGCCTTGGTGTTTAGTCATGCCGGCCACATGACCACAGAAACGTCTTCGGACAGTGCTGGCTCTTCAGACTTTGAAACGGAGATGAGCACCGCAACCCTAGAGTCGGATTCGACTGGCTTTCGAGCAAGGGAACCTTTACCTTTACCTTCATGCAAAGAGTGGTTTACAAACTCCTTTCCCTTCCCTTCCCCACAACAGACACCCTGTGAGCAATGCTCCCTCTAAGCTGTGGAGTCCTGTGAGCAAATATTCTACTTTAACTACTGGCATTAAAGTTGTGAGCAAGGGATCTGGCTACTGGATAAATCAGTTTGCTCTGGAGCCCTCCTTCCTGAGCTAAGACAAAAATCTGTGAGCCGGAGGCTAAAAAACTGTGAGCTAGCTCACACTAACTCAGCTTAGAGGGGGCACTGCCTGTGAGGTTGGCGGGGCTGAGAGAGCTCTTTCAAGAACTGCCCTTTCAAGGACAGCTCTGACAGAACTACGGCTTGCCCAAGGTCATCCAGCAGGTGCCAGTGGAGGAGTGGGGAATCAAACCTGTTTCTCCCAGATGAGAGTCTGTGCACTTAACCACTACACCAAACTGGGTCTCACATTGGGGACCCCTGCAGTTGGCATATACAACATTTTCAGGTTGGTTTTTTTACCAGCTAATCTACAGCATGGAATATCCTGTTTCTGGGGTCTAGGCTTGGTTTCCAAAATACAGCCTTACCTCAGGTTAAGCACCAAAGTCGGTTCTTCTGGAGCCACTTCATAAAGGATGATTTTCCTACAGAGATATTGTTCTGTTCAGGGAAATGCCCATACCTATCATTAGTAGTCAAATGTCATGTTTTGCTTACTGACATAGCACGGTTGTTTGCGTTCATCACACATGAACTGCATATGCTCTTTTCCCTATAAGGCAGAAATATCAATTCAGACCTATCACAGAAGATCTCACGCTTAGCGCAGTGTAAGAGGTGTAGTGTGGTACAAGCTGTGAAAACCCCTGGTTTCCCAAGCACCCCAAGACAGATCTGGTTCTTTTGCCACTGAGTGAAACACGCCACGAATGAGGGGGTAGATGAAATTCAACAGCTGTGTGCTCAGACCTGCTTAACACTTAGCATTATATCACCTTTTACCACTTTCAGGGTGGCTGAAGTGTGGAGTTCATCAGTGCCCGCATTGTGGCAAGATGAAAGATTTAATGCACATGCTAGGTTGTCTGAGTAGGGAAATCAGGAGGTCTCTGTCACAGTAACCCAAGTCTGTCCATGCACCATGTCATGTGTGGAGGAGAAGGGTTTATAACAAGGAGGCTTCTTTTCTTGTAAGTGAAGTGTTCACAAGGTTCCCCCTGATATTTGTCAATCCCCAGCGTCTCCAGTTTAAAGGACCAGGCAGTAGGAGATGTGAAAGGCCTCTGCCTGAGACCCTGGAGAGCCGCTGCCAGTCTGAGTAGATGATACTGACCTTGATGGTCCAATGGTCTGATTCAGTAGAAGACAGCTTCATGTGTGAGGGTCAGGGGCCTCTCCCTGTTGTCTCCTCCTCCCCTACCAGCTGGGCCAGAGTGGAGTTTGAGGAGGTGTGCTTGAGGGGCAGCAAGCTGAGGCTGTGAAGATGGCAGTAAAGGGGTTGGCGGTGCACGGACTCTAATCTGGGAGAACCGGATTTAATTCCCCACTCCTCCACTTGCACCTGCTGGATGGCCTTGGGCAAGCCATAGTTCTGGCACAGCTGTTCTTGAAAAAGGGCAGCTTCTGTCAGAGCTCTCTCATAAGAACATAAGAGACGCCAATGTTGGATCAGGCCAAAGGCCCATCCAGTCCAACACTCTGTATCACACAGTGGCCAGAAATACCAGTGCCATCAGGAGGTCCACCAGTGGGGCCTTCCCACTGTTGACCCCCCCAAGCACCAAGATGACAGAGCATCACTTGCCCCAGAGTCCCTATCTATACCTTGTGGCTAATAGCCACTGATGGACCTCTGCTCCATATGCTTATCTAATTCCCTTTTGAAGCCGCCCATGCTTGTAGCCGCCACCACTTCCTGTGGCAGTGAATTCCATGTGTTAATCACTCTTTGGGTGAAGAAGGACTTCCTCTTATCCATTCTAACCCCGACCGCTCAGCAATTTCATGGAGTGCCCACGAGTTCTTGTATTGTGAGAAAGGGAGAACAGTACCTCTTTCTCTGCCTGCTCTTTCCCATGCATAATGTTATAAACCTCAATCATGTCACCCCTCAGTCGTTGTTTCTCCAAGCTAAAGAGCCCTAAACGCCTTAACCTTTCCTCATAGGGAAAGTGTTCCAACCCTTTTATCATTCGAGTTGCTCTTTTCTGCACTTTTTCCAAAGCTATAATATCCTTTTTAAGGTGTGGTGACCAGAATTGCACACAGTATTCCAGATGAGGTCGCACCATTGATTTATATAGCGGCATTATGATATTGGCTGATCTGTTTTCAATACCCTTCCTAATAAGTCCATCCCTGGACTGGGGTGAGGGAGAGAAAACCATGACAATGACTCATCTCCTAAAAGTGCTATCTATACAAAAAGTAACTAATTTGTATGGAAATGTAAGATACACCCCCCCCCTTTATGGTATCCCTTGGAAAAAACCTTAGTCTGGCATATGATTAAATACATTTGTTGGGGCTTTTGTGGATTCTCCACTAAATAATTTGCTTTTGCTGCTAGGACTCTTGCTTTTGTCTGTATTCTGAGTAAAAAATAATATTTTTAGTTGAGTTTGCCTGTGTTCTTTATAAAGTTTATATCTCCCATACCTGGCATTGCATTTTATGACATACATGGCTCGGCCCAACAAAGTAACATTTATGTCAGATTCGGCCCTTGTAACAAATGAGTTCAACACTTCTGCTCTAACCACTACAACCCATTGACTCTAATTATTTCTTGTTATGGCTTTTCTCTGAAAGACTGTGCATTTTCTCTTGGTTTCATCTTTCTGCCTGCCTTTTGTGGTTGCAGTGAGACTCCCTGTGCCCCCTCAGCAAATGAGAATGTTAATTGCCTATGAAATGAAGGTGCTTTCTCCTATCAGTCTGAACTTTGGGATTCAGGCTTCCTGCTCTTGATGGGGTGCCACTGATACTGTAGTATAAGACCTATTAAATTCAGGATCCTGGAACACTTATAACGTATCAGATCAGCCAATAGAGAAGTTCTCCTCAAGAACTCGTGGGCACTCCATGAAACTGCAGAGCGGTCGGGTTAGAACGGATAAAAGGAAGTCCTTCTTCACCCAAAGAGTGATTAACACATGGAATTCACTGCCACAGGAAGTGGTGGGTGCTACAAGCATGGACGGCTTCAAAAGGGAATTAGATAAGCATATGGAGCAGAGGTCCATCAGTGGCTATTAGCCACAAGGTATAGCTAGGGGCTCTGGGGCAAGTGATGCTCTGTCTTCTTGGTGCTTGGGGGGGGTCAACAGTGGGAGGGCTTCTAATGTCCTGGCCCCACTGCTGGACCTCCTGATGGCACTGGTATTTCTGGCCACTGTGTGACACAGAGTGTTGGACTGGATGGGCCTTTGGCCTGATCCAACATTGGCGTCTCTTATGTTCTTATGTTCTTATGGGGTATGTATCCAATCTCCTCCTCTTCTTCCAACTACTACAATAAAGGAACTAGTTGCCAGACAGCTCGCTCCCCCCCCCTTAGGAAGGGAGGGGGAGACAAGAATGTAAGAAAGTTTGCAAGGAGGAGGGGGAGAGGAGGAGGTCAAAGCATTAGGAAAGGCTGGCCCGTGACCCACTTTCAGAGGCTTTGTGAGCCACTTGTGGGTCTCAACTCACAGGTCGGGAAACATGGGTATAGATTGTTGTGCTTTAAGGGGGTGTGGGGTTCATTCTTCCAAGGTCCCTCTTCCAAACATGAGTTGGTTGACCGCTGGACTTCAGTACATTTACACTACCAGTTTGAATTGGCGTGGCATTGGTTTAAATCACCTTGCAGTAAGAGGAAAGGCAGGGTATAAATAAACAAAATTGTTTCTCCAAGATAATTTTGATTTGCAGTCCAGAGTTCCTTTGTCCTTCAAAGAAATACAGTTTCTTTCCGATTTCTTCTGCGAGCCCATGAAAGCTGAACATGCTTTAAAATTAGGTTTAAATGTGTTGTGCCACCGGGCTGTTAATCTTTCAAGTGACACCCCCGTGCAGTCACACTGGGAGGAGAGTCTCGTCTTGCATGTCAGTTGACTAAACAGCCCAAGCAGCCTCCATCAGAGTTTTTGAGACATTCACCCTCCATTAGAACCTCAGGTACCAGTTGACAGGATCTAGTGAGGGCAGTCATGCACAAGTTCGTTTTGAACATCCTCAGGTCTGAGATATTTGTCTTGCAATCTGGGATAAAAGAGCAGTCTTTGCACTTGTACCTTAGGTAGGTGGGTACAGTGGAAGCAAATAATTGAACTAAAGCTGAAAGCCCACGTCCAGACATCACAGCTTTATTTTACATGTGGTGCCCCACTTTAGTTGAAATCTCACCATAAAGTAAACCAAACCAGTACAGCATTTAAGGAAATTATTGGCACTTGTTCAGGAATAGTTGTACATACAAGATTCCAGTGGACTGAGTCCATTACAACTTTTAAGGGGGAATTCCAGTTCCAAGACTAGAGATGTAAAGTTTCCAGAAATTTTGAAGCCATGGGGGGAAAATGCCTCCCCCCCCCCAGTTTTTTAAAGGAAAAAATGGAAATTATGGGTGCGGTCAGACGGCAGGTTAAACTGCTCCGGTTCTGACAGGATTATATTTGATCTGGATAATCACGATCTCACTTAACTCCCTTATCCCGCCTCACCGCGCAGTCACGTCACTCCCCGGTGTCTATACTACCAATGCGCGGGAGCATTTGTTGGCGGGTTTTTAATTTTTTTCTCAGTTTGCGCATGCGCGTAGGCGCTCATCCGTAGAATGGGGGGGGCGAAATTACCATGGCGCATGTGCAAAACCACCAGGGCGAATCAATCCAACCCCTCCAACAAAAGACTTCCCTTTAAACGTTTGACCCGTAAATGGTCTCTGTGAGATCCCGAACTCATCTACACTCTAAAACAAGTGACCGTTTAAATGTCGGTTTTCTAAACATGGTAGTGGAGCTCCGCCTATGTGCATACCGCCAACGCTTTAAAAAAATGGCGGGCGAAAAGCGGAAGCCTCGGGCAGCTTTCGAGTGGGGAGGGGGTTTAAACCGGAAGTGGCTCGACACCGGAGGAGCGATCACGCAGGGTGAAATGCGGCTTTAAACGGGAGAGCTGAGAAAACACCACTTTGGGACCTGGTAACAAAATACTCCGGGTTAAAGCGGTTTTGAGCCGGAAACCAACGGCTGGGGACGGGAGGCAGATGTTGACTGTGTGATCGTGCATATAAAATCCATTGCTGAACTCTCATGACACCAGATCAGACGGTGCGTCTGAACGCACCCTTTGTGACTTTACAGTCACGTAAAATGCAGTGTGCATAAATTGGAATGGCATAAAAGTATTATGTTTAATATATTAAAAGTACAGCTAATTGAGAAAATAATAAATTAAATTTACTTTTTTAAACTTTATTTTTTGTTACAAATGGAACTACAAGGTCTTGAAATGTAACGAACACCTGAACTATAAGGAATCTCTTGTCAGTTTATGAGAGCTGACATCCCCCCCCCAAGAAAAACCAAATTGTATCCTCAGTATTTTCTCAGCATTTGAATTGTATTCCAGCATTTGCTTGTCCTCAATGTACATGAATTGCAATGAGTTGATACTTTACATAGTCTAACATAAAAGTCATGTCACATAGTTTTTAGAAATAACATTGGAGGATTAAAAATATGAACACCTTGTAATTATCACTGTAAAAGAAAATATTCCGTAATCCATTTTGTCAATTTTCGGGGGGGGGGGGGGACCCCCCCCCCTTTTTTTTTCCATTTTTTCCCCAGGCCTTCCCATCTCTATCCTAGACAGCCCTGTGTATAAACTGTCTCACTGACATTAACAGATCGCCACATACAGCCCAACGGGAGCAATCTGTGGATGCGATGATCTTTCTTGCGTTTCCTTCCTTCTGGCAGTCCTTTCTGGCCCTGGGAAGATTTATTCCCAGGGCTGTGGAGACTGCATGATCTAAAAACTGAGTGGGTCAGGAGGCTGAAGGGGACAAAGTCACCCACTCAACAGAAGAGACAAGATGATTTTGTCCGTCCCCCCCCCCCCCGGCCCATGGCTCCCATGACCTCTGGAATACACTTCTGTATGATGGGCTCTTGTTGAAGAATTGGCTAGCTATCATTCCTAATGTTCCTGGAACATTTCTGCTCTAAGGGAGGCAGGGTGGGGTGGGGTGACTCCATATTATTATTGCTTTGTAACTCTGTTTTTAGAAATTGCCATGGGGTTAGTTGGATGCAATGGCCATGTAAACGACAGCTAGTTGTTATGAACCAAATACCATAGATTTCCTGTCTGTACAATATAGAACTAGTTACCCTTTGAGCATTGACGCAGGGTATTGTACTCCTTTATGTGTGGTGCAGTGGGTCGTATTGGACTAGGATGTGGTAGACCCACATTTGAATTCTCACTCTGCCATAAAAGCTCCCAGCCTGGGGGAGAATTCGCCCATTGGGGAAAAAGGGGGTGCAGTCAAACAAATATGTGTAGGCTATAATTCCATGTTGAAAAGAGCCAAAGAGTAAGGATTGGTTAGGGGAAAATTCATCTGACCTTTGAATTTGCTTTGTTGATATTCCTTTAATGAGCGGACATGTAAAGATGTAGCACATATTCCTCTGCCTGTAGCTCAGTATATCGGCTGATATCCATGGAGGCCAGTTGTGGCAGGATGTACTACTATTGTGGGGTTCTGAAATAAATTCTGCTTTTTAAATGTTGAGGGAAAATGAATTCTACTGACTTAAGATAACTGATTCACCACTGCAACTTAAAATTAACTGTGTACCAGCAGAGCACACTCTTACCATGAGGATTTACAGTCTCTGTTAACTTGGGCAGAGAGGGAGGCCAGATCTGGAAAATATACTTGAAATTCTTGGGCGGAAGGGTCAGATTTTGAAGCCTACGCAAAGCTGTAAAAATTGTTCCTATCTGCAAACATGTCATTTTTGTTCAGATGATTAAGTTGCCCAACAAAGGAAGAGGGCAGGTCTTGATGAAGGAATAGTATGGGCGAATTAATTGGTAGCTGAAGTTGCAGAAAACATAGAACTACGATGTTAGCAGAACTGCTTCTAGAGTCATTCTCATCTTAGCTTTTTTTAGCTCTGTTAGACATTTGTATGTATATCGCTGTGCTGGGTTTGATGGAAAAGGGAGGGATAGGTGGGTGAGAGGACCTGAATAATATGATGGGTTGGATTCTTGTGGTTTATTAGACTTTTTATGACCTTTCAAGGTTAAGAGTTTGTTTTTCCGTACCCTCCCTCACGCAATATTTGATAGTTGCTTCAAAAAGCAGCATGGATTCCAAATGTTTTCTGGTAAGTTAGGAGTTCTACACTGCATATGTTTAGCCTGACGTTTCTCTAGGGCCTGAACAAACGTACCTCTGAGTCTTAGCACAGGGAAAACTACGCATCCTTTTAAAGATCTTCATGGTCAGGAAACAGAATTTCATGTAGGGACCAATTTAGCGAGCTACTTAATCGTGCCTTCAAATCTGTGAAATAACCGGAGGTTGTTAGGCTTTTAATGTGTTGGGAGGGTGTGATGTGTTGGGAGGGAAAAGGTATTTCCAGGACTTTGTTGCTTTTTGTTTGTCCCCAAATAAGTTAAGCTAATGTCTTGTTTCTCCATCAATAGGTGATGGAGACCAAAAGCATGTTGTACCTTGTGACGGAATTTGCCAAAAATGGAGAAATATTTGGTAAGCCCTTTTTTTTGTTTAAAAAGTAACTTAAGTAACTTGGTGACTAAATATTGTTGTTTATTTGGAATTGTTTTCACTTTAAGAATGGAAGCTTTATATTGCTTCCTTTGTGTCTTTTTCTGTTTCAAAGTAACATCTAGCACCGTTTTTGAGATCAAGTCAAGGAAATAATTAATTGTTTTACTATTTACCCACCATGTCAATAACTAAAATTGATTATAGGCAGGATTACTGTCTCATAGCAATGCCATACTTTTAGAAAGCAACAATTTGTACATTAGCTTAATTCAAATCAGATGTAGGCTTTTTTTGGATTTTACTTTTCTCTTACTTATTGTTTCTATGCAGAGTTCATTCATTTAGCGTTGCAGCCAAGCTAACGTAAGCTTCTTTAACTTAAGTGAATTTCCTTATCACAAAGACCGACTTATGTGCTAGTTTCAATACCAGTCGGGTTGTCACTTCCGCCAGTCCTGCTTTTTCAACAGCTTCACAACCAGTGTTCCCTCTAAGCTGAGTTAGTGTGAGCGAGCTCACAGTTTTTTAGCCTCCGGCTCACACATTTTTGTCTCAGCTCAGGGAGGATGGCTCCAGAGCAAACGAATTTATGCAGCAGCCAAATCGCTCGCTCACCGCTTTAATGCCAGGAGCTCACAAAGTAGAGTTTTTGCTCACAAGACTCCACAGTTTAGAGGGAGCCTAACTGAAAAAAGAAAAGCTTATTCTGCCCTATCTGCTTTTCTAGATCAGAGAGAGGTCTGAGGGATAAGACCAGGAGAAGGAACGGTGTAGAAGAAGAGGCAGCTGCTGTGCTATTAGACAGGGTTATTCTCTGGAAGGCAGCTGACCATCCTAAATGGCAATAATTTTGAAAGGGTGCTGTCTGTCTTGCCTGGTATTTTCTACCCAGTAGCCTTGGCATTTGTTTTAATAACTAGATTATAGTAGTAAATTATTTTGGTCCACAATTCCAAAAGCAAAGATCAATTGTGTTTGTGGGGGGTGGGGTGGGGGTATATTAGGAAGAGCAAGCAGTCTCTTGCTGCCGGAATCTCTAGCTCAGAAATTAGGGAGCCTGCATTAGGCCCACCAAAGAACTGGAGCTCACATTTTAATTTGCAGGTAGATTGGTGGTGGTGGTTGGGTTTGGTCGTGTATGTTTGCAGGATTGGTGCTTCGTAAGCCTGCTTTGTTTCCAAAACAAATAGGTGTGGTGTCCCATGTTATTGTCAGAGAGCCCGATAAAATAGGGCAACATCGACAGTTCTGTTTTGAACCCCACAGCAGGGGTCTTGGTCTTATATGTTCTCATTTAGACCCTGCATTTTGGACCCAAAAAAGTTTTTAGGAAACCAGGCTGCTTAGATGAGACTATGTAAGCATGACCATGGGATTCTCCCCCCCCCCCGCCCAAGGTAGAATATAATTTCAGCTAAGTCTCGGCCATCTACCCTGCAAGACCCTTTTCTGTTTGGTTTCCCAACTTTCCTAACCTTTTTATGATTTCTTCCTGGTGGGATTACAGATCTGTGGCAGAGTCCTCATTAGGGTTACCGAGTATTTACCGCGATTCAACAAGGGGACACATGATCCCCGGCCGGAACATTCCTCCCTGTAACACACCATGCTGTCGCCAGGAAGTGACGCTGGGCGACGCTCTGACAATGGGGCTGAAAACTCGATGGTACCATCGAGTTTCCAGCCCCATTGCCAGAGCATCGCCCGGCGTCACTTCCTGGTGACGGCATGGTGTGGTGCGTCTGTTGTCCACGCGGGAATGGGCCTTGGGAAAAAGTATGTGTCCCCCACCGAATCACAGTAAGTACTTGGTAAGGCTGGTCCTCATTCAAAAAGTACCTTAAGTGAAAAAGCAAATTTCCTAGTTTGGACAGCCGCAGTTGCTGATGTCTTGGCTTAGGCCACACAGTTGAGTCCATCACACATGGCCAGTGCTTTAACAAAGCAAGGCTACCGAGACTACTGAGCAATGCTAGGAGAACATGTCTTATTGGTACTTGGATTCTGGTCCAGGTACTAAGTAGACCCAGCTGCTCCATCTCAGTACTACTGCTACAAATGCGATTGTGAGTAGTTTTCTTTTCTAGGGCCTCTTCGTAGAACCCCATTGCCTCTTTGGATCCAAATGTTGCCCAGTGCAGCCAGGTCCTGAAACCTCCTTTTAGGTTCATTTGCATCTATTTATTTATTTACCTTATTTGTAGTCGGTCTTTCTCTTTGAGACTCAAGGTGGGATCACACAGCACAAGACAAATCAAATCAACAAGATGGGGCATCCAGTAAACAAAGCAATAAAGTTTGGATTGCAGAAATCTGAAAATGGAGCTGAAACAAAGTTTAGGTATTAACATGAAACATTAAGTGATGCAGAAATTACATAGGATTATACGTACAGCAGGAGTGCTGGGCATAGAATCCTTTTGCTGTCTCCAGTTTGGGATGCCCCTAGAATCATAGAATCATAGCGTTGGAAGGGGCCATACAAGCCATCTAGTCCAACCCCCACCTGCTCAGTGCAGGATCAGCCTAGAGAATCCCTGGCGAGTGTTTGTCCAGCCACTGCTTAGAGACTGTCAGGGAGGGGGAGCTCACCCCTAGGCAGCTGATCTCACTGTTGCACAACTCTTACTGTAAAAGGTTTTTCCTAATATCCAGCCGGTACCTTCCCACCTGTAATTTAAACCCATTATTGCGAGTCCTCTCCTCTGCTGCCAACAGGAACAGCTCCCTGCCCTCCTCTAAGTGGCAGCCCTTCAAATACTTCAAGGGAGCAATCATGTCCCCCCTCTGACTACTGTAATTCTTCCTACCCCCTTAGTTCCAGGGGCTGAGACTCTCTTTGCTTAATACCAACACAGACAATACTGTGCTGTGCTGTTGACCTTGCTCCCATCCTAGCAACTTTGGTGCTCAGTTAAACTGCCTCAGAGGACATCTGTAGGCAATCTAGATCTTTGTCATCGTCTGTAAGTGAGATTGGGTGGCTAGCTTCAGCATTGTTCGCAGTAGCCCTGTAATCTTCTCCTGACCCCTTAATAGGGGGTCAGAAACCTTGCTCATCAACTGAACATCTCCGGCTCTGCCAGACAGCTCAACCGACTGGCCACATTGCTAGGGTTTTACATCGAACAGTCTTCTCCATCAGCCTTTCACCTGGTAGATTCCCACACTTCACTAGTCCCCCTCCCACAACCTTACTGCATTCCTCCAGTTTGTAAAATAATATTGGGGCAAAGCACCTTGCATGAAGCCATCTCTAGGATGCTGCAAGAAGAAGAGGAGGAGGAGGAGATTGGATTTATACCCCGCCCTTCACTACCCAAAGGAGTTTCAGAGCGGCTTACAACCTCCTCTCCCTTCCCCTCCCCACAACAAATACCCTGTGAGGTAGATGGGGCTGAGAGAGCTCTTTCAGGAACTGTCTTATCAAGAACAGCTGTGCCAGAACTATGGCTTGTCCAAGGTCATCCAGCAGGTGCAAGTGGAGGAGTGAGGAATCAAACCCGGTTCTCCCAGATTAGAGTCCACGCACTTAACCACTTCACCAAACTCCCTCACCTCTAACCAAGTCCTCCCTTACCTCTAACCATAGACTGCGTTTGCACTCCTCCTTTCTGTGCAACTCCCATCTACAGCTTCATCTTCTTGTTGTTCACTTGGACTGTTAAATTTGCATTGCTCGCCCACACCAAGGAAACCTAAAGATTACATATTGAAATGCAGCTCTCCTCTCAGAGATTTCCTCCATCGTAGACTACAGTGCCACAGAAACAGTCCCTCATTCTCTGAGAGCTACAGGAGTCTACTCGTGCCACTTCACGATACCCAAAGAGGACGGTGGTCTGTGTCCCATCCCAGATCTGAGGGACTTCAGTACCTTCACTGTTCCTGGTAATAATGACCATTCAGATGCCTTGCAGGCTTTCAGTCTCACTGTTCGCTTGAGCTAAGATGGCAGATGACTGGTGGAAATCTCCTCCTGTCTCTTTCCGGCCCTTCTGGCCTCTACGATGGTTGGCCATTACTAGAACCAGGGCCTTTTCAGTGGTGGCTCCACACTGGTGGAATGAGCTCCCGGACGACATCAGGGCCCTGCGGGACCTTTTACAGTTCCGCAGGGCCTGTAAAACAGAGCTCTTCCACCAGGCCTTTGATTAGGAGCCGCCACTGACGAACGAGCCACCGGAACATACTACGGCTCGTATGATACGCTGCTGGATATTGCCTTCCATTATGGGATTGTATACTGAATGCCACCATCATTTGCACAACTCTTATTAGCACTTTATGATGTTATATAGGTTGTTTATGTGTAATTTATTGTATTTACTGTTTTATTGTATTTTAATGCTTGTACGCCACCTTGAGCCAGTTCCCCAGCAAGGTGGGATATAAATTGAAAATAATAAATAAATAAATAAATAAATAAATAAATACGATGCCTGTAAATGCACGGCTTGGATGAGGACTAATTATTTGCATATTGGTTTTTCTAGAAGTAAATTTGTATTTGCTGCTAGGGGGTAATTTCCATTTCAAAGTAATTTTTTGTCATGTGTCAGAGTAAAAGCATGAGATTCAAACTAGATCTCTTCATGGAAAGCAGGATAGTGTGGCATTACAGTTTATTATTGGAATGATGCTGTCTTCAGATAAGTAAACTTTTCGTACCAGTTTCCCTAACCTGTAAATTAGGCTGTTTCAGTCATGTTTTCTGTTTGCCAGTGGTTATAGGGCAGCTGCCCCTCCCCCCAAATATTGTTTGTTTAAAATACTTTTGTTCCTCCCAGAAAGGGTTTCCAACGTGGGCTTGGTTACTTACTCACCTCTGGGCAAAAACATCATCTGTTTAGTATTCTAAAACCCAGCGCCAGTGCATACATGTATTCATGTAGCTCAGCAAAACATTCTCTGAATTGAATTGTTTGCAACATCTTGTAAAAAGCAACAAAGAAGGAACCCTTCTTAACTCCCCTGGT